CAAAGAGACATGAATTATGACCACTGTTTGTATTTTCTCTGATATTTGCATGAACTTGCTAGACTATCTGTGTCCCATTCCTATTCACTGAATCCTTTTCACCTACTGTGTACTGCATTATGTTTACATGGGATCACTCGCCAGTTTATTCCCCCTTTTTTTTCTCTTTTCATTCCTGTTTTGGTTGATTTCAAGGGTTTTGGGTTGATTTCAAGGGTTTTTCTTACTGCTCTGCCTGGACCCTCACAGCACCTTGTCCAGAGGTTTGCAAGTAGGGCTGCATTGAGAGAAGGACTGAAGGGAGCTTTCTCTTACTTTGGTGGCACCAGGAATGCACTTTCTGCTGAGTCTGCTTTAGCCCCCTGGGTCTGCCAGCATGGTTTCTCCTAGGGATTCAGATTGTTACACTCGAGAGCATCCAGAGAAAAAATAAAATACATAAAAATGTGTATAAAAATCCAAGTGCTACATAGACTTAAAATTGTTCAGATTTCCAGCCAGTCTTTTGAGAAATTTGTGTTTCAGCTCACCGAAGTGATTTCTAATTGTAAAGATTCCTTCCTTCAGAAACACTGCAGTGAGGATAATGCACAGATAAGCCTGTTCCACATTTTCTATGTAAGAAGAGTCTTCTTGCTTTTCTTACATTTTGCTCTCTGTTGCAAATACATCTCATCTATATTCTATGCACCACATACAACTGAAATGTGCATTAGTCCAAGTGAGATAATAAAAGCTGTCCTTGCTTTCTTCATTTTTCACTGTAAAAAAAAAAAGCTGTCCTTGCTTTCTTCATTTTTCACTATACTTTCAATAGAACCTCACCTGTCACAGTCTTCAGCATCCAGTTTATATTTTTTTTCTTTTCTGTTTGCATGTTTTGACTGTCTCTGAATAAAAGATCATACTAAGGAATACCTAAGAAATGTAAGACATTCTGTCTCTATGATGAAGTACATTTTCTACTTTCTTGTGGCTACACAAGAATAATACTGCAAAAACTGAGATTGTTTCTGCTCCCTGGGAATACTATATTACTTATATATTTTCACAACACTTCTCTTTCTTACCCTTTCTTAGACTACATATATTATGCCCAGGTCTGGGAACAATCTTATTTCTGTGTATACAAGTTCATGTAGAAATCAGTTACAAATTAATGTAACTTTTCATAATAAATGTGATTTTCACCAATGCCAGAGTTTTGCATCTGGAATTTCAAATGTGTGATTGAAACTATTTCTATTAAATCAGAGAAGATACTTCAGAAAGATTCACATGTTTATAGGTTGAGATGGTTTTAAATGATCTCTTTCTTTGGTGGCAGGTACTGCCTCTGCCTTAGATTATCTCTGATATCCCAGGTTGATATTCATTTTTTTTATTCAAAATGAAATGAGGTTCCTGAATGGCCTTAATGATCTAACATGGGAGGGAAAATTGTATCTAAACGTCAAAGGACATACAGAGAACTGATAAATAAGTTAGCAATCATGAAGTCCTCAAAAGCAACTTTACTACTTTATACCCTCCAGCTTGACAGTTGTTTTAGACCTGCAAGAAGAGTATACGGTATTCCCATAGGGAGGTAGCCATGGAAACATTACTTCTGGGTATAAGAAACCTCTGTTATCTTGTCATAGACACCACTGGGGTCCATTTCATCACTTATATCTTCATGGTCTTCTAAGACTCCTTCTTCTGTGCCAATTGTTACACTCCATCCCTCCAAAGGATTTGCCAGAGTCAGTGATGACTGCATAGCGTGAGGGTCACTTTTGTCCTTGCCCATCCTGGCTCAGCTGTGCATCACTTAACAACACTGGAAGCTACTCTTCTTCTTGCTCACAAAAACTCCTAAAAGCCAAAATGGCAGATGAAAAAGAGGGAGGCAGAGACGGGTTCTTGCCTTCCCCTTTCTGCTTCAGATACACACTCTAAATCAGGAGCAGAAGATTTGTTGTAGCAGAAGTTGCGCTGGTTCTAATTTTGTACCATGGTGGTCTTTTTCCATGTTTTTTCCATTCTTTTTTCCAAGCAAAGAAGGCATTTCCCCACCATATGGTTGTACAAAGTATTAGAAATTAAAGTTCAGACAGATCCTAGGAAACTATCTATGCTGGTTCTCACTGTTCCCTGCTAACTGCCTTCTTAAGTACTTACCTTAAAACTCCTGGGAAGGTGGGAGTTTTACAGGACATTCAGCTTGGTCAAACATTTTACTGCACTGCCAGGTAAAAGTTGTTCCTGATAACCTCTACCCTATTTTCCCAGTTCTCCTTGCCTATCCTTTCATCTGCACCTCCAATGCCATCTCTGTTTTATAAACATTTCAGGCACTCTAATTCTCTATACTTCTTCTTGCTTGAATTCACATTCAACAATAAAAAAGAAATAATAATAATAAATTACAAATAATGAGAGATAGCTTCAAAATGGAAAGTTGTGCAGTCCCAAATTTCTCTTGAGCTGGGATTGCACAGTTCTGGATTTTGGCAAGTGTCCGGTTCTAATAATAACAACACTCAATGACACAATGACTTTTAAAAATGAGGTTTAAAAAAATGTTTAAGCCAGTAGCCACATTTGTCACCAAAACCTTCCAGTATTACAGAGAAGATGGATTATCATGAGATGAAGTAATCCCATCAAACTGTCTGCTAATTCTATTAAAATTATGCAAGTGACAAATACTCTTTTAAGCACTGAATAACCTTTTCAGAAGTATCCCTATCAAAGAATGTTGATTTTGCACTAACTCTCAGCAGCGGGTGAATATATTACTATGTACATCTATGTAACGCTTATTTCAAGAAGGGCACAAAAGTTTTTCCCTTTACTGATAAAATGTCATTGTCTACTGAATCACTTCAACTAAATGACCAATTTTTTTTTGTTGTTCCCATGGCCTATAGGTGTGTATCCCATATTTGCAAAGAGCGTAACACTTTTTATAGTGTCAAGAGGAACAGCTGAAGAATACCCTGCATTTGATATTTATCACATGGGATTTTCTTCTTATTGTGTGGTTATTTTTTTTTTACCTTCTGTATTCCACTTAATAGCGAGTACTTTAGTTAACCTGGTGAAATTTCAAGATGATCCTATGGCCATAAGGAATGGGTAAACAGGCATATATGAATACAAAACCCTTCAAATGTTGATCTTGCCTCTTTTGTCAATGCATTGCCATTTAATTGATGTAATGTTACTTAAAATGGGTGCGAAATCTTACTAGCCCCAAAGCAATCTGAGTTTCCTATTTCTTTGTACTTGTCTAACTCCCACTGCTGCCAGTGGAAGGGCAGAAAGCCCTCAGACCATCAATGCACTGAAAGCCATTATGGTCTAGATCCGAGTGTGACCTTGAAAGGGGTTATTTGGAGAATATGCAGTTCAGTAAGTACTTGTGATCAAACGCTGTAATATGCCTAGCTTGCATAATCTCAAAATAATTGGAATAGGTGATTTATCTCCTGCCAACTTTTAAAGGATCTTTATAAAAGTATGAAATATGTCTCAAAGTGTTAAACTGTGTCCTAAGGCTGTTAGATTTTACACATTTGCATGACTTTTTAAATCAGTCCTAAAGCTGTTGCTTTTGGTTATTTTTAATGTAGTCCACAGAACAGATACTGTTCCATTTTTACCATTCTCTTTGGTATCTACACAATGACAAGAATTGTATTTTTGACCTTTAATCTAAAGAACATTCAGACAAGACTGAGAAAATGCACATTTGGAAATACTTCATTTAGAGATTGGGGAAAGAGGAAAAAGAGAAACAATTTTGGGGGGTGGTGGGGAGAGAGACCGAGCAAGACAGCAAACAATAAAGCATCTCTTTTGGTCTCAGTCTCCAGAGTCTCTGCATTCAGAGAACACAAGTGTGCAAGTTGTCTCAAGGAAACATGAAAACACAGCAGACTTCTTGCATATGAATCTATAAAAAGAATTAGAAAATGCTGTTACCTCTCAGTACAAGATAGTGGAAACAGAAAAAATATCTAATCTAAACTTTCAATTCAGAACAGTAAATATGTCATTTTTGAAAGATGAGGATGCTGAGTTAGTTTTTGCCACTGCAATCCTCTCTCCATCAACACTGCCCTGCTTTCTAATTCCATTTCAGGCCTGAAACAAGAGTGGAAGTATGGAAAGTCTGCTGGAAGAGCTCTGCTCTCACCCTTTCACCCTTGCCTCATTTACTTGGCTCGAGTTGCACACATCTGCTTCACCAGCTCTTTCTCTGGTGCGTTCTTCAACAGAGCTCCCCCTGCCTGAAATTTCCTTCCTGACCCAATCCACTGTGCCCCACCTCTTATTCTTTAAAGTCTCCTCTCAAAATACTCATCTCATGAAACCTGAAAGCCCCGGTCCCCCAGTCTTCCCATTGAGTCCATCAAAGAAGGAGAGGTAAATAAACAAATGCCCCCCCCGCAGATCTACTAAGACATGAAAATGAGCTGAGTGAAAGTGCTCAGTCACTCTTCCTGTTTAAACTTTCTTCCCACGCTGTTCGTCTTGTTCTGTCTACCTAGATTGATTGTTAATTGTCCTTCTGCTCTTCTATACCTAGAGTTTCCCAGAGCAGGGTCTTCCTTTTAATAAATGGAGTTCACAAAATATATAGCCTCCTCTTGGCACAGACAGAATTTATATTCAAATTCTTATCAATTACTCAATATCAAATATGACTTGAAAAAGCTCACAGAGGACTATCACTTCAAATTTACTATCACAATTTATTTAGCTGTGAAATGCAGATAAGCTTCTGAGTTTTTGGATGCTTCTTGAGACAAAGGTCTATATTCATCATATGCTTGGAGACTCAAAGCAACCATAAACCCAACTTTTTCTAGCCAGGGAAACAGTTTTACAGCTGTTTTCTATTGTCAGAATGAGTCAAACCATATGGGTGAATCTAGTCCCAAATCTTCTGAGATCCACCTATCACTTGCTTTCCTCTAGACAGCTGCAGATTTAATCAGTTACACTCTGACTTCTGAAAATTTAAAACCATTATTTAAGTCTACCAAGTCTCAGCCTGAATCACCTCTTTTATTCTCTCTTTTTTCAGGATAGCATTCACCTCTGTGCATAAGTCAAACACAGGGCTGATTCACAAAGGCTGTCCTGCTTACACAGTAGAAAGTTTCAGTAAGACAGAAGTGAGGAAAAGGCCTTCTACTGACCACTTGCAAGGTAACAAGTTCGTTCTTTGTTAGCCCACGATTTGGTTCCCAATATATACAGAACAGAAGCTGGAGTCAGATAAAGGTCATTGCACTATGATTTTGTTTGAAGATGGATTTTACTTTACGATTTTGAAGAACTTCGTTTCCTCTACACTTAAGGCGGTTAGATTTCTCTGTAGTTACATGTCTCAGTATGATTATGTCATAAGTCCCCCAGGCCATTTTCAGCGACAAAAAAGGTAATTTTTTTATTTGGTTTTAAAAGTGTTTTTCTCCGGTAATATGCCAAAGACATGTAAATCAGAGACCAGAGCTACAAAATATACAAGCAAAACCTGGGACTGACCATTTGCAAAAGGAAAAAAGTAGAATGATTTCTTTAACCATTTCATTAATACTTCCGTTCCTTTTTTTCCACTGGAATTTGTCTTCCATAATAATACAATGCATAAAGTAATCAGAGAAAACCAAAATCTTTTGAACTGATTAAGTCTTTGGGCTAAGTGTTAAATCAGTTATTTTTCTGATGAGCTCATGTGCCAGATTGCAAGTGTGGGACAGTGGAGAGCTCTCAGCAGCATGGTTCCTGCTGATCTCTTTATAAAAACCTCCCTCCTCGGTTGGAGTTCTGATCTTTGCACTTGCAACTCAAAAGACTGGTGGGCCTAACCGCTCCCCCATAGCTTGTCTGCAACCACAGCTAATGCTCATCCTACCACTTCCAGGTCTCAGTAAGGCAGGCAGGATGTGTTTTCACAGCCTTCTGCCTTCTTCACCATGAAAGCTCAATATTCACACAAGAATTTTATTTAAAATAGTAATCTCAGGCTATATTTTTTTGATACCTTTCTCCTTCCACTTTGCTCAGTCCTCTTTAAAACTATCTCAACCTCGTTCTCACAGGGACGCTAATGTAAATGTAAAATGATGATAAAATCTAAGATGCAAGCAAAATGTAGCTCTTGACCAGATTAGACTGCCACATACTAGAGAAAACCATGTGGATGTCAGACAAAGTGAAGCAATCACAGCTCCATTTTACTGTTGATCTTGGGCCAGATATTTTGCAGGCAAATTCTGACATTGCCCAGAAGGCCAAGTTTCTTATATAACAAAGTAATTGGCCTGCCTGGAGCTGTCGTTCTGTCGCATCTATCTTTAGAAATGGATGAATTTATTTAGTAATTCAAGACACTAGTTTTAAGGGGAAGCGGTTTACCACCATGGGCCAGCTGCTGCAGGCTGTTGACTAGCTGGGCTATGCAGTGTCTCTGGCAATCTTGCCTGACTTGGTGCTCTGTAAAGCTGGTTTTCAGAGGAATCTATCCAAGCCAAAGGTACGAGCAATGGAAAAATGGGAGCAGCAAACATCTTGTGCAACTGACCTGCTGGTTCATGTTCCACAAAGTATAAAAAAGAAAATCACTCTTTCATTATAATACAGTATGCAAAGAAAGACACAGGGTCCCATATTCTCACCTAAACCATTCCTTTTAATTACCTTTGCATGGAGCATGTGTCTCCCACACTGGGTTGTATTTCCATACAGAAGGAACCTCTTTAAAAGCACCTGCTGATCAGGTTCATTTTATTTAGAATAAAAAGCTTGATTCAAGACAAACTCCTTGTTTTCATTTGGCTTGCAATGGCATTATTGACCATTTTGTGCAGTCAAATGGACTGCAACTTACTGCTGCATGTGTATGCAAAAGGGTATCTGTATGTAAAGCCTGCCAGTCCACTGACAGGTGGGTAACTTTTTTCCCTTTTCATGCCTGGGTAAGCCTGTTTTCCTTGTGTAGGAAGAAGATAGAGATTCTGGTGATCTGCACAGACTGGAAGTCCTGGACCAGGTGCAACAGCTCAGAAACCCTTCATATCCTGCTCTCCAGTGGCCAAATCTGAGTGTCTCAGGTGGCAGGATTGTACTCTGTATGTCCCACTTTAGGGCCAGTGTTCTAGTGGCTTATTTGCAGCATTGAAGAGGCTATTACGTGACACTGGATCATTCTCTTTTTCTGAGAGCTATAGAGATAAGAGATAGTGAGGTTACTGTAATGTGTTCCTTAACATCCCTGTGAAGTTTATCCTAGTATTTCAAGACTGGGTAGGGTAAATGAAAATTTAAAGTCTTAGGTGTAAGTATAAAACAGTTTGGGTTATTTGCCTTATATTTCCATTATATTTTTTCCAAGCGAGTCTGTTTTTTTTTCATCCTTCTTTTCACTGTTTTTCTACTGGCCAGAGGGCAAATATACAGCTAGTATAAGACTTACATCTCTTTGACAAGGCAATGACATTTATTTCCTATCCTGCTTTCAAATCCTAGTTACAATAACATCAATGATGCTGTGAACTTTCTTTAAGTTTCACTGATGTGAGAAAGAGTAGTAGCACAGCTATTCCTCTTATTTGGTAACCTCTTTGACTAATTAGACCGAGCTTGCAGCTGAAGGAAAACTGGTGGTAAAGTAGCTTTTTAGGTGTGCGAAAAATGTTCTTTTCCAAATTTCACTTTAACCAAATTTAACCAAAACCTAAAAGGCTTCATGATTTCCTATGAGCCAGAAGATCTGAGAACTCTCTTTTTCCTAAAGGAAGACATATGACACTTTCCAGATTAAATATTTTCCCAGAACCTACATCTGCTCAACAAAATTGCCATTTTCTTCATTTTCCTTGGTGCTAGAGAAAGCTGGTTCTATTGAACAGCTGCCTGCAACTCCAAGGTTTGTGGCCTACTTTACAGCCAAGCCTTCCTGGGCTTTTCTGCTCCCAGTGCCAAGCAGGGAAGAGCTAGTTGATGATGACCTTGGACTCCCCAGCTTAGGAGCAGGCTGCCCCAAAAGTCAAAATTCCAAATTAAATCCTGGGCTGTATTTGGCAAAGGGCTTGCGTCAGAAATCTCTCAGGCTGAACTCAACCATCTTTTCTGTTGGAAAATGTTATTCATGACACTAACTGAGAACAGCATGGGGCTGTCCTACTCTAGGGGAAATTCTGGGAGTTCAGAAGAAATCCCTGTAAATAGGTTATAGAGAAAAGCAAATAATTTCTTCCATATCTGTGCCCATGAAACTGGCAGGATCATGCCCAGGGCACATATAAAAGAGAGGCTGCCTGTGGAATTATGATAAGAGACTGTTTTCTGGCTTCTATCATATGCCATGATCTGGACTATAAAAGTGATGCACAGAATACATGGCAGGTTTCCACATTTGCTGAAGCCAGGCACTGCTTGTTTCTTCACTGTCCTTTTCAGTGGTTGTAGGATTCAGTCACAGTTATGGCAGCATCCTCTACAAAATTCCCACTGGGAAAGGTGAAGTTTTGCACTTTGCCCTTTTGGGATTACCCTCACAATAGCCAGGCTTGACAGGGTCCCTGATCTATAAACACCTAGGAAATGCAAAGATGTTGCTGTTGGCACTGTTTCAAATCACTTTTAGAATTCATTATTATTTTTTTCTTCTGAGCACTCATAAGAATAAACAACCTTACTTGGAAAAAAAAGAATGTTTATACATCATTAATATTATCTTTAGCTAGTTTTGTAATTGCCAAGACCTAGTGAAACCATTAGGGTCATTTTTTTTATTAGGCAATATGTGTGTATACTTACCTATATATTGTGGTGTCTCTCTCCTGCTCTCTTCTTAGGTATGTGTGTGCATATGCTTATTTGGAAAAGTACATAAATTTTAAGAAAGCAGTCCTTGTCTCATACACCTTGTGGTCTGTTGGAATGTCTTTTGGTGAGACGGCACATGGGTAAATTTGGAACCAGATGCAGCGATTGTTTGGATGTGCATGTATGCCTGTGTGCACCTTCCATCTGTAGTTGTGTTAGTGAGACTGCATGTATGATACCATGCGGTGCTAATGGTGATTAAAAAGCCCCTGCCAGCCTTTACTTCTCTTTTAGATCTAGGCCTGAAGGTGATGGGGAGGTGGTCATAAACTGAAATAGCCACAGGTACTATTGTGACCCTTAGGAAGCATGACGTCAAATTTTCAATGGATATTTTCTTCTGTTTTGCAAATGCAATTTGTGCTTGTAATTTCTGAGGTGTATTTGAACAAATGGGTTCCATCTTGGAAGCTCCAGGTTCAATACCTAATCCTTCTTCAGGTACAGTCTTGAAATACCTAGTAATATTTGCTTTTTAAGGACACAGCACTAACAATATAATTTCAAATGTCCTAAAAATTCAGTGGTAGTCACTTAAGATCTCCATTACTATAGTTAATGGAGACTAGAGCAGCAGAGGGGTGCATCCTGCAACATCTCTTTGACCATTAAAATTGGGCACCTGATTTTCTTCCTTTGGTGACATAGTACCAGAAGGAAAAGGGAAAAATGAGGAGGGAAAATATGCATCTTGACTTCATCCTAAGATGGAGCTGGTAAACATTGAGAGTCCCAACATTCAGTTATAGCCAGAGGTGCCAAAACCTTCCTTTTACTGAGACAGAGAGGCTGGGTGTGGGGCAAAAGGGAAAAGAAGGAGGATAAGGAAAGGCTTCATTCGGGCACATTTCAGTCTTAAAAGATGCAGAAAAATGAAGATCATGTTAAAATTATTTTTAACATTACTTCTTTTATAATGACCCTTCTGGAAGGGTGAAACGTATTCTTACAAGCTTCCTTTATTCAACTTGAAACATGCGTGCTGAGTTGTTTTTGGCTTTTATACTTGAGAAATAAAAAGGAGCAGGATTTTAGGAGAAAGTATATTTCTGAAGCATTATTTGTTAAAATGTCTATAAAGAATTTCATGGCCTTCACAAGTAGAAGAAAGTGAAACAGCTCACAGTTTGACCTTCCAACCTTTCCTGGCATCTCAGTAGGTGATACTGCAAAACCTGGAGCTGTCTGTTTCTGCCTGGAGCTGCATTATGGTAGACCTGCACTATAATTTGCCTACTTGGTATCCCTCATACTAATAATGGGTTGCCCCATAGTCTCAGTAAGACTATCAAGGATCATGTGTGCCAGGACAGCCCCTGTGAAGCTCATCACCTCTCAATCTTGCTCAGCAAAAAATAATTTATTAAAAGAAAAAAAAAGTCAAGCAATGAGACAGGCAGTGAAACTGAAGTTCCTGCAGCAGTCTGGATGGAGAACATGATGACAACGTATTGGCAGATTTGTGAGATGTGAGCTGAAAAAGAAGCAGAACCCTTCCCACTCACTCCAACCCCATAACCAAACAGAAAACACAAGAGTGTTTGTGCTTATCCCTGAAGAGCTGGAGACATTGTCAGACATATTCTGCACTCCCACATAAGTGGAGACGTAAAGCTGGGTGGTATTAATGGAGTAGTTTTTATACCTACACCCACATTTTAAGGAATTGTTTTGATGATGGTGGCCCTTGATGCTTGTGGGGCTTGGACAGAGAAGAGATGGGTCTACTTTCAAGATTACCCCTGGAAGTGTAGACACACAGAAATGTCCTAGGTCCAGGACACACTTTTAGTCCAGGAGGGCTGTATAGAAAGGGCTGTATAGAAGACTTGGTCTAGCATGTTCCCACATTGATGGCAACAGTAAGAAACAGAGGGAAAATATATACACTGCTCAGATATAAAGCCATGAAGATTTGCCACCAGTTCTAGGTTTAAATGTCATTGAACAGAGTGATTTCTCAAAAATTTGGAAACTGAAAATTTTGCCTCACTGTCTAAAACAATATTATTAAACTTTGATTTTCTAGAAGTTCAGATAAGATTGCTGGAGATATTTTATCAGTGTGGAATCTACAAAGTTTTTCCTTACATGACCGTGAGTCAACAGTATAACTATTATAGCCAGATATATAGGCTCAGGAAATCTGTTCAGCCAAAACCAGAGATGGTTATAACCAGGGGTGAAATTATCATGAAATTTTATGTGCTTTTCAGGCAGTAAGTGAGAAGAGGAAATTGAGACAACTGCAGATGCAAGCTCAGCATCCCCTTGTTCTGTTTTAAGATGAGAGTATTAAATACACATCACAAATCTATAATGTAGATCAATAGTCTTAATGTTTCAGAAACACTGGATTTGATGAGTCTGAAGTGTAGCTAATGGACACATTTCATACCAATAAAATCTCCACTTCTCTCTGTATATGCATATATTAATTACTGATAATTAATATGCCAATTAACCTCTTAGAGTTCAGTGAAAGCATTCTTTTATATTTAGATCATGTCTGACAATTTCTTTTACAGAAGACATGAACCCCCCCCGAAATTATAGTATCACAATGCTGGTCATGCTTTAATGTCTGGGGCAAGACCAGGGTCCAGGGAGAAAAGGAGAGTCTACCAAGAACAAGGTAATTACGCAACTCCTCTCATGGCTATTGCTACTGGAGGTGAAACAAGCGGATCAATTGTGTATTTTGGCAAGTCCAAATGATTCTCTGTGCATTACATCCCAACAAATAAAACCACATACATTAAGACTGCCAATCTCCAACTGAAGCCCAGTCAGTGGGATTTGAAGTGGAAAGAATAAACACAGACAGTTACAGAATCCAGTCTTTGACCCCAGGAACGGTTGGAGTTTCTGGCTCAGATCCCACAGGCACCTATTGCTAACCAGCCTTAATATGTCTTTTAAAACATCAGAAGGTATTCCGAGTTGGATTGAATATGTTTATGTGCTTTTTGCCCACCTCTTTTTCACAAGTACAGCAGCCTAGTGCACTTTGTCAGCCTTGCATGGAAGGTGCAAAGTTCATGCTCAGACTCCAAGCTTCCCGTTGATAATTCTCCATTATATTGCATAACTCTACCCAGAGTTTTAAAGCGTGTCCCTTATTTGGAGAACCTCCAGTATGAATAAGAGAGAGAAAAAACA